TTATTGTTTGATATGTCTTGCATGGAGCCTGAAAAAAAAACTAAAACACATCAAGATATATCATAGTCAAATAAAAAAAATATGGGTGCGTGTACTTAAGTACGCGCGTGAGAAGTTATACTTCTTTTTGGAATTATTAAAAAATAGTTTTTAATTGCATGCAGATAATTAATTACAATAAAATAATAAATGGATTGGAAAAGGATAGTCAACGCAGTCAATAAAGTTCAGTTTTAATTTGAAAAATTTAATAAATAATCAAAATATTCAATTTAAATCACTACTGAATAAAATTTATTAGCACATATAATTTTCGCATTTGTATAACATTATAACACGTGTTAAGAATATAGAAACTAGAAACATGTGGATAAATATTATAAATATGAAAACAGTGATCAGAGGCGACGAGCGTCCCAACATGTGCGACTAAGAGATCCTATTACTATTTTGTTGGAAGCTTTTTTTTAAGCTAGAGGTACTCGCCAATTCTCGGCTTGAGGTCGCCTAAGGATCTCGCCGTCCCCAAATCCGGTGACACTGTAAAGGTCATCTGCGACCAACAGCATACACACCCAAAAAAATCCTCAGAGTATGTGTTGGTTGACCGGTGCGAGAGTGTTGTCTGGTTTTTACTGGACCTGTTCAGTTCAGGCGTTAGGTAGTCCTCATTTCATCGAGTCCGAGGGCTGACTGAAATAAGACATGCTCAAGGTAACTCCGGAACAGGAATGAAGTTACTCTATATCCTTCCGAAAAAAGATATATATCCAGTTAGTATATCCCTACCCGCTTATTATATCCGACCTACTAGTACAATTCAGTCAATCCTTATCAAATCATGAGAAATATCCAGCTAACATTTTACTAAATGTCATATCTGTTACATACATCTGTTTATTAAATCCGGACCAATAAGATTAGTTTAATTCACATCAGATCTTTTACACATATCTTTTGATTTTCCTTCATAGGTTGACATTCAGGCTTAGGACTGTCAACTAAATATTTAACGTTTAATTATGACTAAATCTAAAGTTTTTTTTTAAACCGCTTTCAGCGCTTTACGTACTCATGTCTTTTCTGTAGCTAGGCTAGCCGGTGATTGGGCAAATGGATTTTCGAGTTGATGCCTGTGATTTTATTGGATATACTGGATATGCGAAGAAATTTTAAATGGAATGATTGGTTATATATCCTGGGTTAGATATACTTCCTGTAATATAACTGCGTCCGGATATACACAAGTCTAGCTGAAATAAGCAGGGAGGAATCCCAAATACCTTCTTCTCGCTCCCCCAGTGGTTGAAGAACGCGTAAGGCATTTCTCAGACAAAAAAAGTATGCTATGAATGACTCAGGTGCATTTAAAAAAAGAAGAAATTTTTAAAAGTAGAACGCACTCTTCGATTAGATTGAAAAAAAAATTGAATGGAAAATGTAAAAATTAATTCCATGAATTGACAAAATGTGTCTGACGCACTATTTCAGTGGTCTCAAACCATCTTCGCATTACTAATGGCTTTCATTTCCGGTTGGATGGTTTCAAAATCTATAACGTACATAGGTAGTAAAATCTTTCATTCTGTTTTATATATGTTACGGTATTATTATCTACAATACTTATACTAATTTCAAACCTATTTTTTTAAAACAAGACACACAGAACATAAAATTTGCGCAGTCGACGTTTTTATAAACAAAATTGCTACTGCACCACGATTCCTTGTCTAAGGTCGATATTCTAACCCCATTATTGAAAAATAAATAAATATTTCCAACACTCACACCAATTATTAGCGTAGCTCCAAAGTAAGCACTGTAAGGCTTGTGTTATGGGATACTAGCGTAACGGATAGATTACATATACTGTACATATAGATACATATCAAACATCCATGACTGGAGTACAAATGTTCGTATTTATCACACAAACATCTCACTTAACATCGGGATTCGAACCCGGGACCGAGTCGGCGACACCATGATACCCGGCGTACAAACCACCACCAACAGAGGTCGTCAAATATATATAAACGAGGATTAAGCTTATACTAGTGACACTATGTTTTGTTCCTTTCACTCAAATACCATTTGTTATTCAATGAACAGAGACAAAACATGGATTAACTAATCCAAGCTTATTTATTCTTTTATTAATAAGAGGGAAGAAGTTTGCAAGGGTGTATATCAATCGCTTTAAAATTAAGAGTAAAATCAAATAACAATGCATTACTATATTGTTATTAGTAGATTAACTGCGTAAGTTAACTTTCATCATCAGCCTACTAATGTCTCCACTGCTGGGGGATGGAATAGGGAGATTGGGCCATGACCCACCACGCGGGCCCAGTGCGGATTGGTGGGTGCGAACGACTGCAGATGCAGCCGGGACCAACGGCTTAACGTGCCTTCCGAAGCACGGAGGCATTTGAGATAGAAGATTTTGGTCACCCATCCAATGACCGACCACTGCGAAGGTTGCTTAACTTCAACGATCGCAGCCGAACGCGCTAACCACCCGCTCCATCGAGCTCCTCCCTAAGTCTGAGTGGTTAAAGAGTTGGATTCTAAATTCAAGTTAACTTTAATACATACATACTTACCTAATTAAATCATCGTTTTGTTGATTGGCGCTTGCGTGATGCATAATGATAATTATTGTTTGGAATTAGGAACCGATTACATACTTGTTTGATTTTAATTTGTTTACTTACTGAAAAACATTTCGGAATGTATTGAGCACAGCATTAACAATTATTATAAGTAATTAATCAGACACTATTTAAACGAATTTCCATCGCGATTAATTAGCTTATATTTTATTATTTATTTTAGGAGAGGGAGAGGGCATAATGGCTTTTCTGCTCGGATTGAATCGGGGAAGTAACCTCCACCATACAGAAGGGTGGCAAACAAGTGACGCAAACTATTCGAATTCGATATTGGTTCGTTCTAAGGGTACTGAGGTCCCGAGCCGCCACTTCGAAACTTTGAGGTGCTGTTTTGTAATTTTTTAGTTTATTAATGAAAGCAAATAATAAAAGTCCAATATTTTATGAAAATCTAACTGATGACCTTTTTTATTCTTAACTACATTATTGAAACCTATTTTTCTAGGTTTCGCTTTCGTACCAGTTCTCGCATGTTCAACTTCTCGTACTTACGTACTTCATAGAACTCTATCATACATCTCGCATTTGCTTCTTTAACGAGGGGGTTCACACTGCCCATCTCTTTTGTATAGTATACTACTACTATTATGTCTTTACGGGGGGTTGGGTCTCCTACTCAATTTATTTATTTGTCGTTTTATATAAGTGATGGACTTAAAAGAGTTTAATTTACCCTATCATCACTCCTACTTCATAACCTTATGCCATACCAACACCCTGTCTTAGCTACAAATTTATATAAAATATATAATAGCTGGCAAACAAAATGGTATAATTACGCATCTGCCCCTCTAGCATGACCACCGAAACGGGATATGATAAAGCGATATATCGGCATTAACTGTCAGACTACAGTAGAGTTTGACAGTTGAGACTCTTTTTTTTTTTTTTTTTTTTTTTCATAATTTTTTTGTTTCAACATGTTTAATAATATACTGTCCGTGCTCGAGGCTGCTATTTGATACAGCCAGGGGCACGGGCAGAAGTCTGAAAGAGGAAGCATAGAAGGATAGTAAAGATAAAAGTAGGTATACAAGAAAATAGGGAGGTCAAAAACAAAGTAAAGAAAAGTTGAATCACATTAGTGGCGTTAAAGACTACTCGTTTGCTTCAAGTCAACTGGATAAAATGCTTTATCATATCCCGTTTCGGTGGTCATGCTAGAGGGGCTGGTCAAACTACATTTTTTTTCACAGTCCGTAGGTTTCCCTCCCGTTAAATTAGAATCTCAAATAATTGTCAATCAAAACCGCCTAAAACAGTGTTAATTACTATATTTATAAATTAAATACCATGCCAAAAGCTCAGTATTATACTGCTCCTGTAAAATTTAATTGTATGTAATTATATTATTTTGTTCGCCAGCTCCTCACATGCTACAAAGATTCCCATTTAACATTCTGCTTACTTAATATGAATCAATCTCACTTAAATTAGCATTCTTTGTTCTAATGTATCCTCTAATATTCAATACTGTTTAGGGTCACGCGTGGTTGGCCATTGGTCCAAACTAATTTACACATACAAGAATAATTATCGGGCAATTTAGTTTCAATTCATATCTGGTAAACTCTATTTTTTACGAATGTCGTTTTGACGTTTTTCTATGGGATAAAGCTTGTGTTAGTTAAATCATCAAATTTTGTTTTAAAGTTAAATAAAGGTATAGATTAAAACCGTATCTAAGGAGATACGACTGAAATTAAGTAAAACGTTTTACCGCACGCTCCATAAATCCTTCCGGCCCGTAATTTCGAACTTTCGAATAAAGTAAATGTATTTTTTTAAGCAAACGTGTTTAGGGGTGATGATGAGATGATGATATGCATTATAATGCTAGTTACATGTAACAGGGCAGGAAAGCCTTAATTTGAATGAGGAATGTTGATGCAAGTGGGCGTTTGTTAAAAAAACAATTTTCACCCTGGCAAAGGCACGGTTTTAAACCGTATCTACGTCCTGTCGCCAGTGAGGTATGAGTCTCTATGGAGTCTTGTTGACGACAAAGGAAACGATTTGGGGTTGGTAAAACCTAGCCTAGACCCGGCGGAAAACCGATCGTCAACAAGTTCCCTAAATCAGGGTTCCTTTTTGTAGTAAGGAGGATTACGATAACCAAAAAAAGACGATCGGTGATAAGTTTAATAACGATTGTCTTTTCAAATTAAAAAACGACCTAATAGGTACCGGCAAGGATGCCCGATGCAAATGTTTAATGCAATAATAATTCTGTGCAACTTGCATCCGCTTGAATTCGGCACTCCTAACATCGTTGTATTGTACAGCTATAAATACTGTTTATTTGTAGCATGTGTTACACTTCGCCGCAAACCGAAGAAACATGAACACCTACATTGCTGTAAGTACAAATATAACTTAACAAATATTTTGATAAAGTAGTCATAATTATATTTTGTTAAGTAAAATTTGGGTCTCCCATAATGAGCTAATTGGGAATTAAGGAATCTCAGAACTACGCAAGTTGTTTGATAAAAAAATATACGTTATTTATTTGTAGTACAAATTTAACTCGCAAATCTTGTTTTGTATAAACTGATTAAATTTTTAAATTGCCTTCATTCTTTATAAATAAGTTTTTAATAATCCATTATTAATGACGCGGTATCAATGCAGATATAAAAGATTTTATTTGACTTGTCTACTAAATTGTTAATCACCCCAATCAGATTGTGAACCAATATCAACTGAGCATAGAAATTATTATTAATTTTACCAATTTTAGGCAACACTTATTGTATTTTTTTAATGTTTGTCTGATAGGCTGTCAATAATTATAACTCATAAAAGTTTTAAAAATAATTAATGTCAATTTTAAAACATTTTTTTTGTCTCCTTTTTCCCCCTGCTTTGTCGAAATTAAGCTAGATTTTATTAATTTAGTAAAAAAGATGTCGTGCATGGTACATGATCCAACGATATGCCCATCTATTCTGTCTTTTCTGTGTTTGTGGAAAATATAAAACACATCTATAAATTAAATATATGTAACCAACCTCCATCACACGGAAAATCATTTTTAAATATTACTGAAAGATTCGACGACACCGTGAAGGGTCGATCGGCATTTAGCAATGCATAAAAAATGCATAATAACACGCTACTATTTATCGGCATTATTGCGAATCGCCGTCAAATCAGTGTGAATTGACCCTAATTCGAAAATTTAGTCATTTCATACTAATGAATATGTTTATTAAAACTAAGACGAAGCCAGTAATTATGCTACGATGATAAAGTGTTTTGTTCACATTACATTTGGAATTGGGTGGACAAAAATTATGGAAAAGCGAGTAAAAGATAAATGAGCTTATGGGGCTTTATTTTGAGCATGCAGGGCATTCGCCCGTGATCTGTAAAAAATGTGCGAAATTCGTATTTTAATTTTGAATCACAACGTGGATACCGTGGTGAAAAGTGGGTTTATTCTTAAAGAATAGCAGTTGGCATATTTGCTAACTGCTTCTGACAGATGAAAGAGATAATCACCGAGCTATTTAATGATTTATTATAACGCCACTAAGATACTTTTTAATTTTCTCCACGGGCCTGGTAGGAAGAGAAAAGCGGTTTGATTCGCTTCGCTTATGTTTTTTATAGAGTCATTCATGCTGTTAGGATATGGTCCTAACTTGCTGAACGAAGATCATTTCGCGTCGGTTCCAAAGCGATCAACTCTTCATTAATTAATAACGTCCACATTATTTTTGTTTTGTTATAGTTGTCTTGCTTGTTGGCCTTCGCCACCGTGTGCCATGGTTACGGCGGCGTCGCTCTCAGTTATGGTAAGTGATGGATGGTGACTGGTGTGACATTATCTTCTAGAATGGTCTGAGACCGACCATCGGTTCCTGACTATATTTCAAACATTGGTCATCGACCGACCGTCGGAGTCGCGCCGTGTCGCGCGTCATCACGTTGTCGTGCAGTGTCGCAAACACACACCAATTAGCCTAGCCCCAAAGTATATAAGGCTTGTGTTATGGGATACTAGGGTACCGGTTGAATACATATACTGTACATATATAAGTATATTTTTATAGATATACATATTAAACATCCATGAGTGGAGTACAAATGCTCGTATTCATCACACAAACATCTGCCTCCACCGGAATTTGAACCCGAGACCTCTCGAGTCGGCGACTTCATGAAACCCGGCGTACAAACCACTCGACCACGGAGGTCGTTAAATCCAATTACTTATAACTTTCATTCTTGTTGCTATCCCTATATCAATATGTATATCAGTCTGTAAGGGACATTTCAAGCTAGCTAACTAGCCTCTGAATAAGTCAACTGCCATACTAAATAAAACGATTTTTACGGGTTATATGCACTGAATTTATTTATCTGATTTTTATATTTCTAAAGACGTAGTCCTGAAAAGCCTGCTAAACGTCAGATAAATAAATTTAGGGCATATAACCCGTAAAAATCGTTTTATTTAATGGGTGATGCACGTGAAAACCTAAGAAACAAAAAATTTACTACATAAAATTCCACGTGGACCAGACGGGACTCGAACCCGCACCCTTCGCTATCCGGGCGAATGCACTGACCATTATGTTACCGAGGCCCTGATGGCCGCGTCGAATATTCTTTAGTATTTCTTAGGCTGCAAGGCAGCGCCATCTCTTCCCAATGTAGGAAACGCACAATTTCAAACGAATTACCTTTAAAAGTATTTTACTTTAAACATTTGAAAGAAGAAATAGCAAACATAGTTATATTTTTAATTTTTTAAGCATTTAACTGTAAGATTTTTAAATCTAAAGAAAATTGTACTAGAAAACTTCTTTAGTTTTTTAACTTCTTGAATCATGGACAGAACACGCTAAACGTTATTGTAGGGGAGCCTGCGCGGGGATTTTGGGATTTACTCGAGCGTGGCAGAATGACATAAGGAGAGTAAACTTACACCTTGTGATGTACTCCCACCAAACCTGAGCCTTTTGTCCATTGCAATAAAACGGAATGCAACAAAGAAAATAAGTTTATAAATGTTTTGTACCTTAAAATCAATTTTTCCCTCAGGTTTGGCACCGGCAGCAGTGTCCACTGCTAACGTGGTGAAGGCAGCGCCTATCCCAGTGATCAGGACAGTAGCTGCTCCGATCATTTCTGCTCCCGTCATCTCTGCTCCGGTCATCCACGCGCCTGTGGCTCCCGTGATCCGCACCGTAGCAGTCGCCTCGCCCGTTAGCATTAGCTACGGTGGCTTGGGAACTGGCTACGGCGGCCTCGGGCTTGGCTATGGCTATGGCGGACTTGGCTATGGCTATGGCGGACTTGGCTATGGCGGGTATGGAGCCATCGGAGTTGGCCCCGTCGGCTATGGTCCCATCGGCCTTGGCATCAACAAAGGCCTGGGATTGAGTTTGGGCAAGTACTAAGCTGTGATACCAGACCGGCGAAGTGTAGTTAGCGGCTGCAGTTCAAAATTTATTGACTGATAAAAATTGGTTGAAGCACACGATTAAAAGCATTCACTAATTTATAACTTTGTTTCTGTTTTTCAAATCTCTTGCTAACCTCGGTAGGTACGTGAAAAAATATTGATCAGGAGGGTAAAATATAAGCAGAATAGCAGTGCTGTTTTGTAAAATTTTTACGCGCGGATCCGATGTGGATCGCGGATGTATATCGGAACAGCGCGGATCCACATCGGATACGCGCGTGAAAATTTTACTTAATAGCACTGCCATACTTATTTCAGTTTGTTGGTGAATATGATTTTTGTTCTTGGTTTTGTATTATACGAGTTCATATAAACCTTCTAAAAATATAAATTATCTATTTGACTGACATAAAAAAGGCAGATGATTTTATACAATGCATATGCAAAGATTAGGTATATATTAAAAGTCAACAAGTTTTTAATGCAGACAATACCAAATCTGAAATTCCTCTGCTGATGGCTAGTATCGTTGAGTAGATAGTTGGTCGGAGGGGGTGTATTAATTGCTTTTTCAATTAACGCCCGGAGACTCTGGGGGATAGCATTCGCGAAGACGTAAGTAATGGACTGTCATAGAATAAGAACGGTAAAAGCGAATCTTCTAATTGCGTTAAGTAAATAATTTTGGTACCATTTAATATTTTCTTGCCTTAGTTTTAAAAGAATTTAACGCGACCAAATTTTTATTCTAAAATGAAATTAAATCGTAATTTATCTTTTAAATTACTGAATCGTAACTTGAAATATCGTTCCTTACAGTTTACAACTAATTTAGTATAATATGTAATAGGAGATTTTTATGAGGTGCTTTAAGAGCTTCTCTATTATTGGAAAAAACCTATAGAAAGATAAATCAATACAATAAAATTAGTCTCAAAGTAAGCAAAGCTTTTATTGTGGAAAAAAAATGATATAATACACATATTCATGACTCCGAAACAATTTTAAACCGACTTCCAAAAGTAGGAGGTTCTCAATTCGTACGTATTCGTAAATACGCGCATATCTCCAAGGTTTCTTAAACGATTTTGATATATTTTTTTGTTTATAAGAATTGGTTAGCGAGATGGTCCTATATTAATTTAGTGAAGATATTATAAATACTTTCGAAAATAAACAACGGAACTTCTAAAGTACCAATAGTACACATATCGTGTTTGGTTATTTTACGAATTATGGAAGAGTGATCGCAGGTCAGAAATCTATCTTGAGTAAGTTGGTGTTGCTATGACTTATAAAAAGTGAAACATAAATCTACATTTATATTACTACTACATTTACCAAAGCAGTAAATGGCAACTCAGAGATATCAATATGCATGGCACCGACTCCAAACGATAATTTGACTTTAAATGTAAAAATAAGTAAAGAATATCCATTATTTCTTACTTTATTTTTGTTTTTATAAAGTCGGGATTTTATTTGTTTGTGCTTTACGGTTGTTAGTCCCTTGATCAGCAATTTTAACGCAAGAGTTAAAAATTCGAGGAACAAAGGACTCTACATCAAAGGTTCCGGAAAATCAATAAATAAACTCGTATAGACCAAGATTCTACATATTGGCCTATTGCCACTTCTGTACATGTATATTCTTTGACGAACCGTCGACACCCTGACGTCCATAATTCCATTTGAGTTGAGAGCAGACAGTTCTTGTGTTAACTGTACGCTTTCGATACGGATATTCCTTCTGTGGCTCATAGCACACCGATATCAACGTGGTATGTGACCCATTTCAAGCCTTAAGTGAAGGAAATAAGATTAACATTCGCTAGTATCGCGTTTCTTATCCAATTTTTCATTTTATGGAGATTTTAGTGCAAAATGCAGATACATTATGCATGCTTATTACAGTATTGTGCCAGTTATTTTGTAAGAAGCGTAAGACTGATGGGAAATGCTATTTTGATGTACATCATATGACTAGACTAGAAAAAATAAACTTGGTGGGTTTCCTACAGTGCGAAGAGATGGCGCTACCTTGCAGCTTAAGAAATATAAGAAGAAATTTGACATGGTCATTAATGTCTTGGCACCATAAATTGGTAAGTGCGTCCGCCCCATGGGAGAAGCTAGGGGGGTGGAGACAATAACCAACAGAACAAACATGATAATGAAAAAAAAAACATTCACACTCAACAACTTCTAGTATTTATATCGGTTTACAGGTAAATCCGTTTATTAATGCTACTGTATTTGTATATATTTGATATGGTCTCATTAAGACCTTTCAAATGATACCTATATTGTAATAATTAGAAGACTTTTTTAATTGATATTTCGACATTGCTGTTATTTCAATTTTAACAGTTTAGGTATCCTATGTTACCCGGCATAGTGAAAGGATTCAAATTTCTAACGATACCACACACATCTAAATCGGTTCAGGCGTTTAGAAGTTATAGTGGAATAAAGAACTGACATACATACATGAAACCTGAAAAAATTACACTCTTTGTTTATGGGCAGTCTTATAAAACGGATTTAAGCATTGCTAAAATATGACCTCTGATAACATTACACTCCGCCTTTTGCAGTCTTCAAAAGCTAGGTGTTCATTGAAATTAACATCTCACAGAGGTTTCATTTAAATGGTTGCACACAAACGAACATATATTTAGAGTGAAACAATAAATTAATTAATGTAGGGAGCTGATATGTTGAGTGGCGCCGAGTGCTAAAGTTACGCAACGCCAGCCATTGGGTTCGCAAGTCACAACTCATGAATAGTGGGTAGTTCACTTATTAGTGCTGCAATTGGTAATTAAACGGTATTCCGAGCAATTAACACTGTTTACGCTATTTTGAATTGTGCATTAGAATAATGACTCTGTATGTATGTATGTATTATGTACCTATGCGTAAGTATTATACTAATACCGATACTAGAAATCGGTCAAATGCGAGTCAGAATTGCGCAATGAGGATTATGTTTTTATTGTATTACTAGGCGCAGCGCACACCGCGGGAGGTGCGATGAAGATACTGAGAAGTTAACAATTTAAGTTAAAAAATAATTCGTATATCATAAGTTTAAAAATTTGCGGCGAACATAAAACAATACACAACCTGCGCGCAGCGGTGCAAATCGGTCACAAGAGCTAGGCTCTTGGCTCGTGGCCGCGCTCGGAGTCGCCGCGCGTAGTATTGTCACGGTAATAATATCATACAGTATTCTATCTTCATACAAACGGTCGGAAAGTGAGTCATACCTACGCCACTCGAGTTCGATGTGCTCTCGGCGGGCATCCAGTCGCGAATGCGCCGCCGCGCCGCAACGACGACCGAACGGTCTGAATTGTTTTTTATGCAGTTAGCCGTGCTTAAACGTGCGTTTTGTATTGTAAATATTTGATTTCATTAAGTAGATACCTACATAATTTAGTATGGAAAAGAACAAACGACGATCAATATCATACAACAGCACAATTGCTGTTTTTGCTTGCTTGAACTCTTCAATAATACACCCATAGATAGCATTTTTTAAATTACCTGAAATATTGTAAAGGTGTCTTACCTTTATAGAATATTTTTATATACCTATCTACTAGTACGTAATTTGTTTCTAATATTTAGGTATTTCGGTCTTTCCATCGGGCAAAATATCTGGAATAATATGTAAATAAGTGGTTAGGATAAAAAAGAGACAAACGAGTAATCTACCTACACTCGAGTTAAAAACAAAACTACATAAAATACTGTAGGCGGGCGGCCCTACCGCGTGCTAACACAGCACTCGGCCGTAGGCATTTATTTTCAAGGACAGGGCGGAGTCACAATACTGTATAGATAATATTACCGTGGTATTGTCGCCGTGCGTCTCCCGGTGTGCCCTGCGCCTTACACGACTGCAAAAGAGAATCAATACAAAAATATTATAGATTTTACATTTCTCCTGTATACACGGTGAATTTTGAGTTATATGAAAAACTGTTGTAGCTAATTCAGATAACGATTTAGGCATAGAGCAACACAGCTGACGCCGCGTCAGCCGTGTTGCTCAATGGATTTAGGTTATATTGCTTCGAAAAATGTTTTTCGTTTAAGTTTATTATTGTGAAAAAATGTCTCTACGTTAACACACTAATTATGCATCAATGCAACCTAAAAAAATTGTCGTAAATTTATTCAAATAAAACTTCTTTTAGGATCTACGTACTTAAAACGATTTTTTTTTTCTTGATAGGTGTGTTATTTACAAATTTGTGCCGTTTTAGGATACTTTGTAAACGATGTAAGTCAATATTTTTGTATGAGGGTGAAGTACGTTTATAGTTTTTACAATTTTCATTTACACGATATTTAAGTTTCACAGGTAACTCAAAATTTTACGGTGTATAAAAAATCTCACACTCCACTATCAAATTAGCTTTAATGCTGAACGAACGTTTTTTTTTCGTCAAGTAATAATAACATAATAACGTAGACTATATATACTATAAAATTGTACATTTGATTTGACTCGACACGCATCGCATGACGTTCGGGTGGCATCGTGTTTTTAAAAAGTCTGTATCGGCCATATTTTATACATGTCAGATCGGCAGGCATATTATATTAGCCGTGTGTATTGCTCATTAGTGCATATAATTAATTAAAGAGTAATTACTCTTCTCGTGAAAATGTTAATATGTATTTAAATTGTAGCCTAAGTCCTTTTTCCAATGCCAAAATGTGTCCATTCCAAAATCATTAAAATTTGGTTCTACGGCTCAGATTAAAACATTGGTTTTAATCTAAGTTCTACGGCTTAGCCAAGAAAATGTACCAGACAGACAAGGCTACGTATGCACAGAATAGATATAGGCAGCATATTATATTACTTTACGTCTCGTAGCAATACGGATTTTAGACGGAGCTGAGCTACCACTCAAAACTGCTCGGTACAGAGTGCATCAACAATTTATGAGCAGATGTTCGGCTTACTTTCGTGTATGTATGTGTCTAGTATAAAGTTAGATGCCTAAGCAATAATTCCCAGGACCTTTTATAGGGCACTCTATACTGGAGTCAGCGATTAACTCAAACTTCTA